ACTCTCAAATGAATAAATAAAACTTTAAAATAGATGTATTTTTAAAAATATGTGTGTGTGTGTGTGTGTGTGTGTGTGTGTGTGTATTTAAGGTCTGATGTTTTGTGATCAAATGTAGTATATATATGCATTGTAGAAAAATTGAAACTAGAGAAAGTATTTTTCAAAACTAAAATTCACTCATGCTCCTGCTCTCCAGGAGAAAACTTGTGTTAAAATCCCAGGTATTATTCTCCATTCATATATATTTGGAACAAGGAGCCTGACGAGGGACTGGATCCCAAGACACTGGGATCAAGCCCTGAGCTGAAGGTAGATGCTTAACTGCCTGAGCCACCCAGGCATCCTGAATAGCTACTTTTAAAATCCTCAGATCTTGGGGCACCAGGCTGGCTCAGTCTAAGGAGCATTTGACTCTTTGTCTCAGGGTCATGAGTTCAAGCCCCACGTGGGGTGTAGAGATTACTTACATAAACTTCAAAAAAAAAAAAATATCCTCAAATCTTACTAGCTAGGGTATGGATGTACAATATCGAGGTTTTCAACGTACCAAGGATTAGCAGAGAACACAGCTTAAGGTGAATGGACTGGAGACATTTGGGAATATCTTCAGTATTTATCTATATTTCAGCAACTGAGTATCCTGCAGCCATACAATGGAAAACTACAGGGGCGCCAGGGTGGCTGAGTGGGTTAAAGCCTCTGCCATCAGCTCAGGTTGTGATCCCAGGGTTCTGGGATAGAGCCCCACATTGGGCTCTCTGCTCAGCAGGGAGCCTGCTTCCCTTCCTCTCTCTCTGCCTGCCTCTCTGATTACCTGTGATCTCTGTCTGTCAAATAAATAAATAAAATCTTAAAAAAAACCCCACAAAACTACATTAGGGTTAACATGAATGGGGATATTTCTGTGATCTATGATTGGGAATTATGATAGAAAATGATAGGATGTCTAGGATATAGTAACTGAGAAGAAACACTTTGCACAACTATATATATGTATATATTATGTAAAACTAACTATATATGTGACTCTTTCTCTATATATATAAGTATATGCCAATTTTTTAAAAAGATTATTTTAGAGAGACAGAGAACACGAGTGGGGGAGGGGAAGAGGGAGAGAGAGGAGAAAAGCAGACTTCCTGCTGAGCGTGGACCAGACTCAGGGCTCCATCTCATCACCCTGAGGTCAGGAGCCGAGCTGAACTCTTAGACGCCCAACCGACTGAGCCACCCAGGTGTCGCTATGCCAATTTTTTAAAATCTGCACCTCTCATTTGGTATTTCTCTTAGTTTTGCTCACCTCAGTGATTTTTTTTTAGAGATTTTATTTATTTATTTGACAGACAGAGATCACAAGCAGGCTGAGAAGCAGGCAGAGAGAGAGGAGGAAGCAGGCGCCCCGCTGAGCAGAGAGCCCGACACAGGGCTCGATCCCAGGACCCCGATCATGACCTGAGCCAAAGGCAGAGGCTTTAACCCACTGAGCCACCCAGGCGCTCCTTACCTCAGTGATTTTATATACAGAGGTTCTCACATACTATAAAATATGCCATGGAAACGCTGTGGCGAGATTCACCGCACTCTGATCACTGGAAATAATCTGATCGTCTGGGAATGTCCCCCACCCGCCACTTGACAGTGTCACAATGTCTGCAGTTTATTTATGACAGTGACTCTACCAAAACAACAAAGGAATGTTGATGTGTATGTCCATATGTGTGCGTGTCTGTGGCATATGTTCTACATAAGCAGGTGTGGTAGGATATCAGCAACTTAACATTTCTAGAGGTGTCTGTTGTACTATTTTGTTAGTTTTTGCGTAAACTTGCTCAAAATAAAAAGTTGGGAAACAGAAATAAATGTCATCTGGATTTTAAGCACCCCACAAACTTACTGTAAGTGGATTTAGTAGACTGATTTGACTGGCTAAGGTGGATGATGGCTATTTAATTTTACTTTTACATTTTTTTAAGATTTATTCATTTGTTAGAGAGAGACTCTCATGCACCTATAGAGGGGAGTAGGGGAGGGGGAGAAGGAGAGAATCCAAAATAGACTTCCCCCTAAGTGCTGAGCCCAATGTGGGACTTGACCTCCTGACCCTGAGATCACAACCTAAATGGAAACCAAGAGTCAGATGCCCAACCAACAGAGCCACCAGGGTGCCCCTTTATTGATAACTTTTTAATGTCCTGGTTAACAGTCTCATTCTAATACTTGAGAAATCCTTTATAGATGTATCTGATTTGTGTGTGTGTGTGTGTGTGTGTGTGTGTGTGTGTGTGTGTGTGTGTATGTTTTAGATTTTATTTTTTTATTTGACAGACAGACATCACATGTAGGCAGAGAGGCAGGTAGAGAGAGAGGAGGAAGCAGGCTCCCTGCTGAGCAGAGAGCCTGATGCGGGGCTTGATCCCAGGACCCTGGGATCATGACCTGAGGTGAACACAGAGGCTTTAACCACTGAGCCACCCAGGCACCCCTTTTTTGTGTTATTTCTTAATGTGCTAGAAACAGAATCTAGCTTTTTACTTAAAACTTAAAAACAGGCATTCATGAATGGACCTAGAGGGTATTCTGCTAAGTCAGAGAAAGCTGTACCCTATGATTTCACTTATATGTATAATCTATTTCTTTAAATATGTGGAATCTTAAAAACAAACAAAAAGCAGAAATAGACCCATAAAGACAGAGAGCTGACGGTTGCCAGAGGGGAGACTGGTGCAGGGATGGGCATAGTGGGTGAAGGACAATGGGGGGGGTACAAGCGTCCAGTGGTGGAAAAGGTAAGCTACAGGGAGGAATGGTACAGCAGAGGGAATATAGACATTATTTTAATAGTGGTGACCGATGGTAGCTGTACTCGTGGGGAGCACAGCATGAGCATGGAGGGCTCGACTACTATAATTTTCTTAATTATTCAGATGGACCAAAGTGGGCCCATGCTCCAGAAACCACTATATATCATTCTTCTCTACTAACCAGGCAAAATATAAGACATTATATTAACTCACTATTTCATAGGTCTCAATGAACCTCTAGACGCATTTGCTTATGTTCTTGAAATACAGATTAAAAATATGTTGGCTATTCTGCAACCAGATTGCTATTACAGGGAATTTTCTCTTTCCTTCCACAAAGTTTTGACAGGCTTCATTATATGCCAGCCTCCCAAGCAGGAACTTCCCTCCACAAGCAACAGGACTGGGAAGGACAATCAGAAACCACTAGAAACACCCACTGTGTACCGAGTCAGAGATCAAATATTGATGAACCTAAAAATAGGAAATACAAGAAACCCTACAGAGAACACACCTGGGAACTATCCACCTGATGTCCACGCACCTACCCAAAGCAACTGGGAGGCTTGGATTCTGCAACTCTTGAGCAGATCTAGACACCCATGGGCACCCTGTCCCACCGATGGTTTCCCTTTGGGAAGGCCAAGCGAGACTATGGTTCACTAGGTTGAGCCACATTTAGGTTGAAGACACGGAGACTCAACCAGAGGCAAAATGCTATTCCCACGCCTCACTTGAAGGAATTGGTTTTGGAATCTGTTGGCTTTCCTCGCGCACCTTGGTAGGTTCAAAAATTGCCAATTGTTCATGTGTCAACTTCTCATGAGAAAAGGTACAACTTACTGTTGAAAATAAATTCTATTATCTGTGCCACCAATACCTCATCTAGAGAAAAACGTTCATCTGAGCATGTGAAATGAGCAGCTCAGGGACGTAGGTAGAGAGAAATCCAGATCTTTCTATGTACACACACACATGCACACATGACAGTTAATTATCTGAAGCATCATTATTTGTGCTTGCTTTACTACTTCTGAAAAGAAAATATAGTAGTAGTAGAATAGTATAGCTATTCTGTCTCTCTTTATGCAGAACTGTAAAACTTAGAATTCAGATTTAACTCTTTCCAAGGCAATGCTAAATTCAGATTGAAACTGCTGGCCCATTCATCTAAAATCAGAACTTAAACACTCACATTTATTTATCATAAGGCATGCTTGGGAGACTACAGAGTACTAACTCAGAAAATATTGCCCAAAAAGTACATATTGCTTACACAATTTTAGAGTCTCTTCCTGGAAAAAATTACTGGACAGTCCATGTTTCCACACAGCTTGTGCAAATAACAAGCTAAGCTTGGATATTCTTGGGAAGTCACTCCTGTGGCCCGAAGGATGATTGAGCTCACCAGGGCCCCACCTTTTCAGACTGTATGTAAAAAATTTGGTGCATTTTAACAAGCTGTATTTTTTGGATGCAGCTACGCCATAGGATTTAAAGAAAATAAATCACTAAACCGAGATCAATGTGAAGTTTGAAAGTACTACCAGGAAGCCAAATAATTGTCTATTAACTACTCACCAAATTTTAAGATCCCTTACACAGATATTGCTAGGAAGTCAAAGATGCATCACTTGATTCAAGAAACTTTCAAAATAACATGGGGTTTTTTGTGTGTTTTGTTGGGCCCAGATGTCAATCCCCAGAGTGGTCAAAATGGGAAAGAATAATTCCAGGAAGCTCCACTGTCCTTCCCTCCTTGGCCTCTCCTGGCCCTTGGTACCTAACTTCGGTACGCTCAGCCACGTGGGGTGTGTGTCCAAGTCGGATTCCCTAGACTACCCGAGCTCGGATTCTGCACGTCTGTGGCGTGACTGGAGAATGTGCCTGTGACAAGCAGCCCCAGCTGATGCTAAGGCGGGTGATCTGGAATGCTCTCTGGGAAACCCCGCTTTAGAGACCCATTCTTCCTCCTCAGGATCACACGAATTACCCAGACCACCACGTACCCAGCATTTTCTAAATACAAATCTTCATGAAGATGGTTTCCTCGGGTGCATAATCTGCTTAGCTCCCTTCCTCTCAGCAGGCTTGCCACCGAGGAAATCAGCATTCAGGACACGATCAACATTAAAAAGAATTCAGTTAGTCATCACTAGTGAAAGAAAAAAAAAAAAAAAAAAGCCCAGCAGTCTGTTCACCTTACTCAGAGGTTTCCAACACATTTTATTTTTGTCGACCACTGGTCTTTAGCTTTTGAGGACCAACATCTGTATAAATCCCTAGAAAACGTCCAACGAATGTCCATTCTGAAGCAGCCTTTTGGGTCCCGCACACCGTACTTATGGCTCAAGTTCCAGCTACACTTGCAAAAAGGCTGCCCTCTGGCTCCTGACGGAGGGCGCATCCAAAGGGAAGCCTCTTTGGGGGTGTCCTCTCCGCAGGGGTGGCTTCCTTTGGCAAGAAGATCTGTCGTCACGGCTTTGGTGCCCGGGCGCAGGAGGCATCAGAGACTCGCAGGGCCGGCGGCTGCTTCCCTCAGGCGGACACTCGAGGAGTCAGCGCGCTGCTTACTGACCGCGATCCCTCCTTATGGTTTAGTGGGTTAAAATAGAAGGAAGCCTCTGTTTTTAAGTAACACAGATAAACACCTTTTTAGATCGTCTATTTGTTCTAGCACTACAAAATTTAATTCAAGAAAATATAGGTCCCATGAAAGACTTAAAAGTTTTATAAAACTAAAATCTAGTTTTCCCCAATAAATTGTACTTTTAGCCAAAACCCTCCCAACGCTTCTCAAATGATACTAAAGGGGGCATCTGATTATACAAGAGCAATAAAAAAAATTAAATATTTATTTGAATAACAAGTTTCAGTTTGAGCTGCGACGTTGGCAATGCAGATTTTTAACACAGATCACAAAAAGCGTGCACAAAAACGTACTGGCGCCAAGGACAAAATAATGCTAAGAATTTGGCTAGAGAACTGCTGAGTTCAGGAAAACAAAAGGCCTGAAATCACTATACAAAATATAAAATGTAGTAACCACTACCATCCACAGAACAGTCTTTATTATTGATTATATTTCAAAATTATTTGTGTAGTTAATTATAGACTGAATTGTAAATGAGTATTATACATAAACCCCCTTCCGGAAGGCTGATTCCTTGTTGCACTAGCGAACATCTAATTACATTGCAATAAGGATCCTTGCTTGCTGTCCATAAAGAAAACAGTTAATAGTATTACTGTAAATATTAGGAAGGCTTCAAAAAAAGAAACTAGCTTTCTTTTTTTGTCTTCAAAGTGCTTTCCATGCAGAGTTAAGCACTTGCCTTGCTGAACTGAATACACTACTGGGGAAATGTCCTGGGTCAAAAGAGACACTCTTGAATGAGGAGACCGGGCTTTACAAAGCAAGGACTAGAAGGAACCATGCAACCCTCTCACTCATGGGATACCAATGTGTCACTTACCAATTCCATCTTTCCAGAATACCATCCAAGACACTTACAAAAGACCAGACCGAGAATGATAAATACGCACAAAATGGAAAGACACCAACTGCTATCTGACACCACGACGGGCATGTCTGTGCTACGGGAAAGCACCTTTAAAAAGAGCCTATGCGGCAAGAGATAAGTGTCTAAAGATTCAAAATGAATCAACAGTATTGGATAACAATATAATTCTCAACTCAGAAGCTGCCTCAAGATTAGGTGCATCTTCAGTTAATGTAACAGGAAAAAAAGGCGATGGATTTTATTTTATTAATTGCATCCACTCACAAATCGACCTAAGGTCACCAGATGTGTAGACACAATGAGATTTTTTTGTGGCCGTTTATAGTCTTTAATTGAAATGATGAAAAAGGAAATAGATCTATTTAAAAACAAAACCAAAGAGCTACTTGGGTCAAGATTAAGAGGTGGCCCCCGGGGTGGGGTTCACGTTCTGAGTGGCCACCTGCGGTGCGACTTCGATGATCCGGGGCTTGTCTATGATTCTGGCCGTGCGGTTGCCCTTCTCCACGATCCCAATAATCCATGCTTGGTGGCCTTCCCCGTATTTGGGAGACTTGATCTCTGCGCAGAACCGGGCGGCTTGCTCTCTCGGTAAACAGATGAGGAGGCCTCCTGGCAAAGGGAAAAAGAGAAAGAAAGGATCATCGTCTACTGGGATACCCTGTTGGTGGTTTCTCGGCCGCTGGCTTTCCAGGGCACATCCACCCCCACCGCCAGCTGGCCACCAACCCGTTTCTGCCTCTCAGTGAGCCGCCCTTTTCAGTCAACGGACTTTCCGCTGATGACACGGTAGAGCAATGTGCGGCTTCTTGGTGAACTGCTTACTCTATTAGAGGAACACACGCAGTGAACCTTAAAACTCTGAAAATGACCTCGTGAATCCCTGAACATCGTGCACGAGTGAGGGGTCTGAGGGCTCAGTAACACACGTGGTAGCTACTTTCTTCTTCCCACACTGTAAGTACTTAAAACCGAAAGAGAACTTTTCTTTTTTGACTTGATTTTCTATGTGGATTCCTCCTTTTATAAATAAGATTTTCTGTATTTTTTTTTTTTAACTTAAAAGTTAAGATCACGAAGAGGTGTATGTCTCAAAGTACCAAAGATCCTGTCACTGGCTCTGTCACCTCCAAAAGAGAAAAAGCATAAAATATGTTACAAAAGCCTTCACCACAATGTCGCTAGCTAGGACAGAAAATTTTATGTATTCGTAAGAAGAAATAATACAATCAGGAAAAAATATAGATCTATACTTATCAAAAAGTAGAAACTTCTCATTTTTGAGTAAAGGAAACAAATGGAATTTCATGGTACTATCTGTTTGTTCATTCAACACTTAATCCAGGCCCACCAGGTGGCAGGCACTGTTCTAGCCCGATGCGGAACCAACAGTTCCCACTGCCCGCCTGGAACTTTCTTACTAGAAACTGGATTTTGGTTTGTTGTTGTTTTAAGGACAGGAAACTGCAGGCTCCTGGACAGACGCCGTGGGAAGCCTATAGGCGAAGTGTAGGCCTGCCTAGCTGGCGGGTGGGCAGAGCTCTGTGGTCTTGCCTCTGGCTGTACCCCCAGAAGCCCACTGGGGCACTGGGAGAATTCCTGCGCACCAGGCCCACCCCAGACTGCCACAGTCAGGTTTCTTGGGGGTCAGGTCTAGGCACTGGTATTTTTAAATCCCCAGATGATTTCACTGCTTTGTTAGGGCAGGGAAACTATGAAGTTCAAAAGAAAAGAGAAATATGAAAAATTGAAAAGAGTGGGAGGATATCCAGAGCGAAATACAAGAGTCCAGATAAAGGGCATTCTGGAGACATCATATACTACCTCATTCTTAAAACAGCAATTTTGGACATTTTCTTCAAGGAAAAAAATAGCATGTTCAATGTAACCTATAGGGAATCACAGTTCATTCAAATGCTAAGTTTCCCAAGAAAGCCGAGGAAGGACTCATTTCCCCATATTCTCCCTCCCTCCTGTCCTGTCACCAAAAAAGCCACGGAGTTTCATGCCGCCGGATCACACACAGACGGGCAGGAGTCGGGTGACCTGCAGCTCCCGGGGATGCTGAGGACATTCGTGTGAAGAAGGCCTAGGTTATCTGCCAGCACTGACCTCACACACAGTGGGGTCGTGCTCATGTACTTGGCTTCCTCCTTGTCAGGGGACTTTTCGTTAGCCTCGCTAGTTTAATCCTCAGATCTGGGCCCAGGATCCTTGTACCTGATGTCTCCGGGCAAGTCCCGTGCATGAGGCCAAACATGTTTCCACAGGCCTTGCTCACAGCAGCCATCTTGGCCAGGACAGGAAGGTTGTGGATCACGAAGGACACCTCGTTCCTCTGCTGCTTGGCCAGGTTCTGCGCATGACCCAAAATTCCAAAGCCCGTGATATCAGTGGCAGCGTGAGCATTGAATGTGTGCATGAGCCCTGCAGCTAAGAGAAAACAGAGGAGCCATTTATTATCTGCTGACATAAATGAAGATGGACAAAAAAGCCACCTTTCCTCAACTCAAAATTTTACACACTTTGATCTCAAAATTGCAAATTTGTCAGGGAGGTGGCATATTGGAATAATGAAAATGTAATTTCTAAAACAAAACCAAAAAAGACCAGAGTGAAATTTTGAAAGTGGATTTTTTTTTTTTTAAGATTTTACTTATTTGAGATAAAGCAAGAGAAAGAGAGAGAGCATGAGCCATGGGGAGAGGCAGAAGGAAAAGCAGGCTCTCCTGAGCAGAGGGCCCAACGTGGGGCTCAATCCCAGGACCCTGAGAACATGACCTGAGCTGAAGGCAGATGCTTAACCAACTGACCCACCCAGGCGCCCTGAAAGCTTGTTTCTTATTCTACAAGAACCATTTAGAACTATCAGCAGCTTCAATCAACAGTAATTTTCCAGTAAACGAAAAAAAAAAATCTGTCCAGAAGAATCAGATCTAAGCCATTCTAAAATCAAAGAACAAGACTTTTGAAGACAGACGTAATTCAAAGCACTCTTATAAGTGACTTGCCTAGAAGGTTAATTTTCTAATTAAAAAAATAGTTCTCTAGTTTTAGGTTTAAAGAAAATTGAGCAGAATTACCGGAGGTTCCCGTATAGTCCTGCCTTCTTCTCCCATTATTATTATTGTTATTATTATTTTTTAAAGATTTTATTTATTTATTTGACAGAGAGAAAGATCAGAGTAGGCAGAGAGGCAGGAGCTCGATCCCAAGACCCTGAGATCATGACCTGAGCCAAAGGCAGACGCTTAACCCACTGAGCCACCCAAGCGCCCCGCCCCTTCTCCCATTATTAACATCTACATCTGTTACAAGGGATACAAGCCATTACTGATGCATTATTAAGTGAAGTTCATAGTTTACATAGACACCCACTCTTGATGCTGTACAATCTCCGGGTGCTGATGAGTGTACGATGTGTACCCATGATTGCATTATCATATAAACTAATTTCACTACCCTAAGAGTTCTGTGCTCTGCCTACTCATTCCACCCCTCTCCCCAACTCTTGGCAACCACTAATCTTCTGTCTCCATAGTAGTGCCTTTTCCAAAATACCAGAACTGGAATCAGAATATTTTCTCTTTTCAGATTGGCTTTTTTCACTCAGAACGATGCGTTTAAGTTTCCTCCACATCTTTTATGGCTTGATAGCTCAATTCTTTTTAGCGGACCTGTTTACTTACCCATTCACCTGCGGAAGGACTTCTTGGTTGTTTCCAAGTCTTGGCAAATATGACTAAAGCGAGGACAAACATCCGTGTGCAGGTTTCCAGGCGGAGAGGTTTCAGTTTAGTTTGGTAAATACCAAGGAGCACAACTGCTGGATCATATTAGTGTTTATTGTATTACTATGTGTGGTATAAGGACTTTCTCCCAGTCTGTGGCTGGTCTCCTTTCTTAGTGTCTTTCACTGAGAAGTTTTTTTATAAAGTCCAATTTGTCAATTTTTTCTTTAATGGATCATGCTTTCGGTGCTGTATCTAAAAAAGTCATCACTAAACCTAAGGTCACCTACATCTTCTCCGAGGTTACCTTCTAGAAATTTAACAGTTTGGATCTATGATCCATTTTGAGTTAATTTTTATGAGAAGTGTAAGGTCGCTGACTTGAATTTCTGCCTGCGAATGTCCAGTTGTTCTGAGCCATTTGTTGAAAGGATGATCCTTTCTCCATTGAATTACCTTTCCTCTGTCAAAGATCCAACTACGATTTATGTGGGTCCATCTCTGGACTGTGTATTCTGTTCCACTGATACATCTACTATTCTCTGACCAATTTCACACTGTGGCGATGACTGTAGCTTACACTGTCTTGGAACTGCTCTTTGGTGTCTGTCCTCCAAATGCTATTCAACACTGTGTTGGCTGTTCTGAGTCTTTCCCCTCTGTATATAAACTCAGAATCAGGGGCGCCTGGGTGGCTCAGTGGGTTAAGCCTTCAGCTCAGGTCAGGATCCCAGGATACTGGGACCAAGTTTCACATTGGGCTCCTTGTTCAGCAGGGAGCCTGCTTCTCCCTCTGCCCCTCCTCCCATTCATTCTCTCAATCTCTCTCTCAAATAATTAAGTTCTTAAAAAAAAACAAAACAAAAACCCTCAGAATCAGTAATAACTGTCTAGGATTCTGAATGGGACCACACTGAATCCATACACCAAGTTGGGAAGAAGTGACATCTTGACAATATTGAGTCTTTCTATCCCTGTGCCTCGAATACTTCTCCATTATTTACATCCTCTTTGACTTCTGCCATCAGTTTTACAGGTTTTCCTCACATCGAGCATGCACATACTTTGTTAGATTCTTACTGAATTATTTCATTTTGGGGGAGTAACTGAAAGTCTAATTTTTAAAAAATTAAATATCTCTTTCTCATGAAATGAAATACATCCTACGTTTACAGGAGTACCCTGGAGGAAATGTGGTTTTTTGGCAAATATTCTTTGTAGTCCAACATTCTCAACCACAGAGGTGGAGAGAAGAATTGACATTTTCTGGTCCATCGCGGTAGTTAGGCAACCAGACATCCCATTCTATTAATGCATTTGCCCCAGGGCAGTGGGGTAAGAAGCCAAGACCTGCACTTCAGAAGCTCTTCCCGGTGTCATCTTGGATGAGCTTAGAGGCCCAGAGGATACAAGAGGAATGCTGAATCCTAGTCAGTAATAGGGGTTCCATTTTTAGGTACTCATCACCACCTTGTCCCTGCAAAGGGAACTACTGCTGCTAGTATTTCTTATGGAAATTTTAATGAAACACAGAAGCAGAGAAGAATAGTACAACAAACTCCTGTGTGCCCAACAAAACCCAGCTTCATCCACTACCACCTTTCCACTAGGGTTCCCTCTCTTCTGGACTACTTGTTCGGGAATGTGAGTAGGGTGGGTGGATCACTTTATTTATTTATTTATTTATTTGACACAGAGAGATCACAAGTAGGCAGAGAGACGGGGGGAAGCAGGCTCCCCACTGAGCAGAGAGCCCAATATGGGGCTCGATCCCAGGACCCTGAGATCATGACCTGAGCCGAAGGCAGAGGTTTAACCCACTGAGCCACCCAGGCGCCCCTGATTCTGAGTTTATATACAGAGGGGATGGGGTGGATCCCCTCTGTATATAGGGGTGGATCACTTTAAAGCAAACCCTAGTCCTACCACTTCACCTGTAAATATTTTGATATGTAGCTCTTAAGGAGTTATGTATCAAATATGTCTTAACCACAATACCACTGTTATTCCAATGCAATTAATATTGTATGTAACAGATCTCTCTTAAACCTCTGAATTTTTAAGCTTCCCCCTTTTCTCCCCCATGCCCTCTGTTTGTTATGGAAATGGAGTCAGTAGAAGTTCCTGGATTCTGTATTTGGCTGTCCTCCCTGATGAGATAGATTCAAGTTCTTTTTTTCTGGCAAGAGTACTTCAGTTGGCGGGGATAAGGAGCACTTGTCACCTCCACCTGAACCTTTCACCTAACGGTTTTAGCGGCTATTAATGCTTGTTGAGATTCCTTAAATCAAAGGGAGCAGCAAAAGTGGCAAGTGTGTGATTCAATCATTCTTCCTGCATTTATGAGAAGTGACTATTCTAAAGAGTTTAAAAAACAATTATTTGGATTTCCCGAAGTACAGCCCATACAAGAAAGGTGAAATGTGTGATTGCTTCCTTTAATTTATTTTCAGGATGCACTGGTGTTCTAGCAACTTCCAAAGGTGGCGGCCCAACATGTTAATTATCGTTATGGTTTCACTGATGTTTAGGTATGTGCTTCAGCTGGCTTCAGTCACTCTTCTTGCTAATGTCTACAGGGCCCCTCTCCCGTTTGATTGGTGGGGGCCTCCTCAAATTCTGGTGCAGTGACATGACCCCATCAGTTGACACCTCCATTACTTTCAGGCACAGGAGGTCCCAGGATTATCTTCTGTACTTCCTTTCCCAGAGCTGGAATCAGCCGTTTCCCCAGGGAGTGCTGGCACTTTTCCGTGGGAAATGTTAATTTTCAGATTAGAATCTGGGCACTAGAAGTTCATTACTACTGGCTTATTATCACTTCCAGGCTTGGAGAAAAACACATTTGGGGGGAAAAAATAGTCCTGAGTTCATACTGATAATTCCAAAGTAAAGATTATAGTTTTTAACAACTTGGCTTCTTCAGTCTTCTTTTTATTCTGAAATCTTTGTTCCAAATTGTATTAACTTATTTGCTTTCGGGGGTGCCTGAGTGGCTCAGTCAGTTGAGCATCTGCCTTTGACTCAGGTCATGATCCTGGGGTCCTAGGATCAAACCCTGTTGGGCTCCCTGCTCAGTGGGGAGTTTGCTTCTCCCTCTCCCTCTGCCCCTCTCATCTGCTGATGCTCTCTCTCTCAAAATAAATCAATATTCTCACAAACGCAAGCCCAGTGAATACAATGAGATTTCTTTGTGGGTTTTTGTCCCAAGGATACACATTGAAAATATCAGGCTCAAAGTGACTTGAAATAATTCTTCCCCATGTGGTTTTGCCACTAATTTAATGTGTTAGGCAGCTTTTAAAAAAATTTGGTTTAGAATTGTAAGCAATGCTATTTTTTATATAATTTTTAACCATAGAAAACATTCATTTTGAAGGCAAACTACTTCCTCTTACATGGAACTATTTTTTAAAAAAATATTTTATTTATTTATTTAACAGAGAGAGAGAGAGAGAGACAGAGACAGAGAGAGAGATCACAAATAGGCAGAGAGGCAGGCAGATAGAGGGGGAAGCAGGCTCCCTGCTGAGCAGAGAGCCCGATATGGGGCTTGATCCCAGGACCCTGAGATCATGACCTGAGCTGACGGCAGAGGTTTAACCCACTGAGCCCCCCAGGTGCCCCTACATGGAACTATTTTTATTTGTGATTCATTTTCCCATTGTTCCTTTGTGAAAGTATAAAATACATATTGTTCACATAAGAAAGCACAAAATGCAGCATACCATATATGTTCTTCTGTCCCTTTCTTGTTTGATTGTATCTTAGAGCATCCAGGAATAAAGAGCTTGCTTTCCTTTTAATGGCTGTATAGTATTCCACGGTGAACACGTAGACTAGACAACTCTGTAACCTACTGGTGGACATGTAGATTGTTTCCCTTTTTTGCAATTATAATCAGTGCTTCAATGCATAGTCTTATAGACATGCCATTTCATATTTTGGCCACTGCAGCTTTGAGGCAGAGTTATAGAAGTAGGACTGCTTAGGTCAAAATAAATGTATACATAATTTGCTCCATATGATCAAATACTCCCCCATAAGCTTCTGCCATATTGTCACTACCAGCTGTGCATAAAAAGTAAGGACGGGGAAACTTAAATGCTCAAATACAAGGAAACTGAAAATTGCTACAAATAAAAATTAATTCATTACAAATCCCTTACTGTTAAACAACTTAAAGAATCAAAAAAGGGAAAAAGACTCCTTGTATAGTTTAAATGGCACAGGAATAGAAAGGGAAAGCCTTGGTGGTAAGTGAAGAGAGCATTGGGGGACAAAGAATTAAACAATTACTATTTCACTTTGGAACAGGGCCAAAGAAATATTCCTGGAATGCAGAAAACAAACTATGGAAAAATTTGATGCCCCCAAAAACTATTCAGGAGTGGGCAAAAGGTAAATTATGGTGTACCTCTCTGGTAGACCATCCAGGCATTAAAAATTGTGTTCTAGGGTTATATAATGTGAAAAAAAGAACTCAAAAAGCAGACTCAAATACAAATAAAATGTATGATAACCACCAGCTGAGAACATGAACAATAAAACAGTAAGACAGTAAGCCCCTATTCAACCACAGGAAAAAACCCTGGAAGGAAACACAAATATATAGTAAGAGAAGATGTTTTGGAGGGTGAGACTATGAAAAAAGTTTCTTCTCTCCTTTTTCATTTTCTAAGAACTTCTATAATCCGCGTGTCATATTATTACTGTAAAAAAATATATACAATAAATGGGAAGAGAAAACACATTACAGAAATTTTCTGAACGCAGCGGACCACTGGATGCCGTCGTGTGTAGGCCCCCCAGAAACAGCGAGCGCCGGCCACAAAAGCCACAGCACCTCTGACCTCTTACACGCAGTCTCCCAGAAGCCCTGGCCTAGAAAGTTCTCAGCGGGAACCTGAATGCCCACCAGCAGTAGACCATGTAAGTCAGTCACGGAGTGGAAAAGTATACAGTGGAGAAAATGAATTAAATGAAAATGAATTAAATACAAGTACATACATACATACATCCTGAGTAACAAAACAAGTTAAACACATAGGTAGGATTCAAGCTCAGGAACAAAACACAAGCTCAGGAACAAAACAAGTTAAACACATAGGTAGGATTCAAATAAGCAAAAATTTAAAAACTAACTGTTTAAAGATACAAGTCTCTGTGACAAAAAGACTTTACAGTGCAGAGAATGAACATGAGACTCAGAGCAGTAGCTGGGTCCCCCGCCCCCGCCCTGGCAGCAGTCCCGGAGCGGAGTGTGGGAGGGGTACCTCTGGGCTTCCAAGGCCAGACTCTGTTTCTCATACCAGATGGTGCTGCATTGCTGATCCTGAAGCCCTGCACAGATTTTATAAAGTTCTTTTGTATCAACTTGGGATCTCATAAAAAAAATTAACTTAAGAGGGGAAAGGCAAATATTGGGAAAAAAAAATGTTCTCACATTTTTAAGTACCTTTAAAATCAGAGTGTCAGTCATCAACATCTTTTCAGATCTGCTAGTCAACCCTAATATTTCTTCTTCTTTTAAATAACTGAAGACTCCATAATTGAGTATTACATACATTTGGTTCAAAATCATTTGGGGAAAGGTGAAGAACAGAGGGAATAAGACAAAGAAAATCCATTCAAATGCATTTTTTTTTTTTTTTTTTTTTTTAAGAGAGGCAGGTTCTCAAGCAGGCTCTACACCCAGCAAGGAGCCTAACTTGGGGCTGGATCCATGACCCTGAGAGACCGTGATCTGAGCTGAAATTAACAGTCCTTCCGAATCACCCAGGTGCCCCACATTCAAATCCATTTCTGATGGGCGGCTCAGGGAACCCTGAAAAACTAAATGAAGAGTGGGGTTTTTTTGTTTTTTTGTTTTGTTTTGTTTTTAAGTAGGCTCCATGCCCTGCATGGAGCTCAGTGCAGGCCTTGAACTCACGACCCTGAGATCAAGACCTGAGCTGAGATTGAGAGCCTGATGCTCAACCAACTGAGCCACCCAGGTGCCCCAAAGAGTGACTTTTTTAAGGAAAAGATTTCTGAACTTCACTTTTCAAGTTACAAAATAAAATGTCACCCAACCCACATCCTTAAATACAACATGCCAATAATGATGAGAAAGAAAACTGGTATTTCCAGAAAAAAAAAAAAAAAATCATAAAAATTTCCATCACTGATTTTATCAACATTGATGAAATGTGGTACTGGAGAAAGAGCAGTGTTTATAGTTATACAGTTTTGGGTCTGAGAAGAGGATCTGCCCATATTAATGCATTTCCTCTTGGACAAAGGGGAGAAACAAGGTCGAGTTCTCATGATTATGAAAAAAAGGTCTGTGAGGCACCATAAAGAAAGCTAGCACGTGGTATACAAAGTGAACTCATCTGGTCCATATTTAACGAAGACCTACAGTGAGAACGAGTCCCTCGTTCTTTGAAGTGCCGGGGCCACCAAAGTGAACAAAACCAGTGGAAACCCCCGTCCTCTGGAAGCTGACATTCTATGTGCTGGTTCACTTCCAAATCATCTGCACAGATGCTTTTCTAGAAACACTTCCTCTGGCATGTCAGAGGTCAGGACTTCAAGGACCCAGGAGAAGAGCTTCCTTCTTAATTACACAACATGCCTGATATTTTCTACATCCATATGAAAGCCAAAAAAGGGGGGAGGGAGTATAAGATGCTTGAACTATATCAAGTAATTCCCTTGGCAAGCCTTGCTGCTTTCTGGAAGATGAATTGTGGTTCTTGAACTTTCCTGTTTTATTTTAATCTGCTTTTGAAACAGTGTGGTACCAAAGCACTCACTCACTTACGGTGCATAAAGACTGTGGAATAGCCTCAATCTCTTACTTAACTGTTCAGAGACGATAGATAATAATACTTGAATGTGTTATAAGCTGTAGTTTCAAACCCCGGGTCCCCACTAAAGCACTGTGGGGCCCTGAGCAAGTTACCGCTCCATAACCAGACGAGCCCTCCCACCCCAATACCTGTTCTGTTGAGCCTCGCCATGTTCATCATTGCCTCCTGGTATGCCAACTCGACGTCTTCTTGGGTGACCACTAGTTTGATCTTATTCCATTTTTCAGGCTAATAACAGGAACAGAGGTTAGGAGGAAAAGGGGGGAAAATGTGATTAGTCTTCTAACCACTTGAAGAAAGAATATTTGGGGGGGTCATCTTCTGGGGGTTTTGTTTACCTAATTTTGTACATAAAGTTAAGTTTCCAAATTTCACTTCCTGTGACCAGTGTTTTAGGTGCCCCCATTGGACGCTGAATCATACAATCTTTTCTGTTTTCAACCCCCCTCTTCTGTGGTCCAGTCATGCAGTTTCCTGGCCACGTAAGCCCAGCAGGACACAGGGCCGCAGAGAGAGGCTGCGCGAGCGCCAGGGCGGCTTCTTTCCATGGAAGGGCGCAGATCACTCTGGGAATAGTTCCCAATGTCCTTTGCCGCTCTCCTCTAACAAGCTGATGACCTGCATTTTCGTACAATTATACTTTTACTGACTTTACCCAAATTCTGCACTGAGCCATCTTGATGGACAAACGAGGGCGAAAACAGCTCTGACTGCATGTGCCCTGAGGACAGCCTTGGGTAACCACAAAGAAGGTCACAAAGGTCAGGAGAAAAGAAGTTTCCTTTTTCCTCAGTCTGATTTCCAAAGACTCTAGCATCATGATACTATCATCCTGCTCCATGAGTGGCCATCATCCAGGCATTTGGGTTTTTTTATAACACCAAATAATCCACCACCCAATGCAGTCACTGAAGTCCAACCAGGTGCTCCTCCCTTATCCCACAGCTCCCCGTATCTCCCCCAGAGCTAACAACTAATGAAATTTTATACTCCTCTTTCTCCTACCATACAAAATGAAGTATTCTCGTACATATAGATGCCAAAACAATACACTCTTTGGTTGCTTCTGACCTCTATGAAAGGGCATTATGTGTTTATGTAATTTTTGGATCTTGCTCTTTCCAATTCTGAGCATTAAAAAAAACAAAACAAAAAAGTAAAGGTGGTGTCAGGTCGGGGGTAGGGAGAAGGATCCCAAACCCCTCATCTTAGAGGCTCCTCTGCCTCACCTGCTTCCTTGCTAAGAGACTCAGACCTGGCCAGTCGCATGGAGAGTTACTGTGGACTGCTGGCCAGTTATGGCCTTCCGATCTGACTTAGAGATCGTACCTGATGGGAGGTCTCCCCTCTTCACTGGATGGAAGGGAAAAGTAACTCAAGGAAGTGGCTTAGAGATTTTTCTCTACTCTGCATATCAAGGAAGATATATCTGCTTGATCAATAACATAAAATTATTATTCTTTTTCAACTGTTTCTCAGAAATGGTAGTTCAGATGACAGCGGCAGAAATTAAAAGCACCAAGCTATGTGAGGATATGCCACAACTGTAATAATTTTTTAATTGTTGTAGTAAGGAGAAGATCCCTAAATGAAGTGTGACCATAGCTCAGGAGAAAAGTGACTCAGGACAAATATCTTCATATTCTAGAGGCTTTCTCTACAAGATAATTATTTATCAAAATGTTTGAGTTACTAATTAGTTTAAAAAGACAACACAACCAAACACCTCATGAAAAAATTAAATTGTCAACAACGCTGCCTGTATTTATACCCCAAACACTACACTTTCCATATATTCTCCTATGATTTCTTTTAGTGATGCTTAAGACACGGAAGATAAAGCACTCGATATGTGGAACTCTGATTTAATAAAAGAAGACAGCCCCTAGAATCTGTGAAGGACATGGCTGATATCCTACTCTCTGGTGGTGGAACTGAAGGAGCTCATTTCTGGAAGCCAGAGTGAAGACACGGGGACGATTTAGATCTGAAACGTGCGAATGCATCTAAGGCGCAGCAAGCGCTCCAGAGCAGACACGTCTGGAGAAAGCGTACTCTGACATGAGCAGACCAAGGAGACACTCGCCCGACCTGATGAGCAGAGTGAACGCCCTGCTCTCCACACCCGTCAGAGTGCTGTCCACCCCGCCCCCAGGCGGTCCTCCACTCACAATGTCCAGCCACTGGTGCACAGCCACGGCCACCTGCGTCCCCAAGGGCTTCGTCAGCACTAGCACATCCCCCGGCACCGCGTTATCTGGCCTGAAGAAAAGAACAAGGCAGTTCAGTGTAATCAAAGAGGTAACTCACTAGCAATAGAACAGGAGGAAGAAAAGGCTGGTAAAACAGCAGTAGAACCTTCCTTGAGACTTGCCACTGAGGCCATTGCTGGAGCAGAAACACTGAAAGGACTGAAGAGTCTGCAAATTACCTACAGGATTGCCCACACCCCCAAGGAGTGGACAAAGAAGCAGACCACAGCCTTCGAAGGCAAAGGTCTCATCGGGCCACACCGTGTGTAGTCCTTAGTAGGGACGCACCATGGTTCTGGGGCAACAAGACTTCTGACACCAAGCCCGTTTCTCACTATCACTTGTGAAGTAGAGACGCAGTGGGATGAGGCTCCAACCGGTGAGTCTAATGTTCTGGTGATTTCAGCAAAGTTCTCAAATTCAAACTGACCAACACTAAGTTCCCTAGTTGGCATGCAGACAGACAGGCCAACCCTAAAAACACAAAGACCGACCCCCCAAGTGAAACCCCTGTCACACTGCGTCCTCACTGCCGGTCTTCCTGATGTCGGTTCAAGCTGACCACCCAGCCACTCTGTCCTCTGACGGGAGAGGACTCAGATACTCACCCACGTTGGGTCACCAAGCCAGGGGCACAGACTTAAAATCAACCACTAGCTCCCCAGCTCACCCTGCGATCTCTCTATCCACTGTTAGCTTTGAAAAATGTTCACCTGGTAACGGTATCTAAGAAACTCCTCTTCCAAAAACTAGGCCTTAAGACATTAGTGTCTTTCAGGTGTGACTCAGCCACACCTCAGCGCTGGTAGGTTCGTAGACGGCACAGGTCATGTGCCAGCCACAAACATGACTACCCACAACTGCTGGGTGATTTTCAAGTTCACGGGCACTACTGGAGGCAAATATACCCAGGTGGGCAGGCTCTTTCCTGTCTGACAAACATAGCACTGTTGACCAAAAAAACCCACTGAAGCTTGTTTTGTTATGTTTTCCTCTCTCATTTTTGCAATGGCCTAAGTTCTTTTTCTACCAAAAAGCTGCAATGTGGGAGGCAGATGGACCCTGGGATCTTCTGTCCTCTCTTGTGTGGAAGCTTGAGAACCAGCAACACATAACACAGGAAAACAAAACTCTGGTGTAAGTAAAATGCAAGACCCGTTATGTGAAAGCTATCAGAAAATGTCTCTAGGGCGCCTGGGTGGCTCAGTGGGTTAAGCTGCTGCCTTCGGCTCAGGTCATGATCTCAGGGTCCTGGGATCGAGTCCCGCATCGGGCTCTCTGCTCAGCAGGGAGCCTGCTTCCCTTCCTCTCTCTCTGCCTGCCTCTCCGCCTACTTGTGATCTCTGTCTGTCAAATAAATAAAATCTTTAAAAAAAGAAAATGTCTCTAAAAGATTTTATTTATTTATTTGACAGACAGAGATCACAAGTAGGCAGAGAGGCAGGCAGAGAGAGAGAGGGGGAAGCAGGCTCCCTGCTGAGCAGAGAGCCCAATATGGGGCTCCATCCCAGGACCCTGGGATCATCACCAGAGCCGAAGGCAGAGGCTTTAACCCACTGAGCCACCCTGGCGCCCCCAGAAAATGTCTCTAAAAGGAGCTCCCATCAATTAAAAAATGGACAAAAGACATGAATATATGAAAAACATGCTCAATTGCATCACGAAGGAGTAAGGTTTATGCCACCAAACAGAACAAGAGGTTTGCACGCAGCGCTGGTGGGGAGGTGGGGGCCGGGACACTCTTGTTCCCTGCAGGCTGAGCCTCTCCACAGGCCAGTCTGGAGAGATCGAGGATGATCACTCTGCACGTATATCTGACCTAGCCATTCTTTTTGAAGAAGTTCTTACCAAGAGTCACGCACATGCAAAATGATGTACGTATCAGGTTACAATGAAGTACCATCTGCAAAGTCAAAATAAACTGAATAATCTAAAGGTCAATAGTAAATTGGCTCAAACTCGGCACAAGTGGCTCCCTCGCCCAGTAAGGGAAACCGGTGATGAGGGGGAGGGGAAGCCCTGGCACTGCAGATGTCTATCTTCTGAACACGAGTCATGTGAACACGGCGCCTGCTAGTACTTAAGTACTCATGCACAGCAAAAAGGCGAACAGGTGCCCGGGTGGCTCAGGCGGCCCCACATCAGGCGCCCTGCTCTGCTCATGCTCACCTGCCCTCTCCCATAAATAAAATTTAAAAAAAAATAAAAATAAAAATAAATGGAGTTTCTTCTTTTTTCATAAAATAGGACATTTTCTTAATAAGACATCAAACATGTATAGTTAACAACTTATGTTCAGCGAATCCTTCAAAAAAAAAAAAAAATGAGAGAGAGAGATCTAGAAGATCTAGAAATGACCAGAAAGCACATGAACAGATCATACGATCAGCTAGCAGGGAAATGCCAGTTTCACAGAGGGACGCAGATGCCCTCACGCCTGCAAGGATAACTATTCTTAAACACGCAGACCGGGGAATGAGGACTAGTGAGGATGTGGACACAGGTGTTCTCCTACGCTGCGTGCGGTTTTGGATGTAAAATGGTGCCACTGTTAGAAACCAGTGTGACAGTGGCTCAAGCTACGCAGCTACCACGTGACCCGGTAATTCTCAGGTACATCACCGTGGGAAATGCAATGTTACGTCCACAAAAACTGGCACATAGAGGCTCACAGCAGCAGCATCTGTAACAGGTAGAAACAACCCAAAGGTCCATCAACTGTGAACACGTGAACACGTGCTGGTCGATCATACCATGGAGTGTCATCCAGCCATAAAATGGCACGAAGCAGTGACACACACCATGACACGGAGTCTGGAAACGTCACGCTAACTGAAAGCAGCCAGACCCAAAATACTGACAGGGCCTAGGATTCCATTTTTCCACTTAGCAGAAATGGTGAAAATGGGCAACTTCACAAGGCAGAAAGTAGATCAGTGGTTTCCAGAACAGAGGGGGAGAAGGGAGTTGGGAGTGACTGCTTATAGACATAAGGTTTCTTTTTGGAGTGATCGAAATGTTCTGGAATTCGACAGTGGTGATGGGTACACAACCTTGTTAATACTAAAAACCAGTGAAGAATATATTTTAAAAAGCTGAATTTTGTGGGGTGCTTGGCAGTCAGTTAAGCATCTAACTCCGGTTTTGGCTCAGGTCCCATATCAGGCTCTGTGCTCTGAACGAGTCTGCTTGCCTGCCTCCCTCCCCCTCTGCTCCACCTTCTACTTTCTCTAATAAATAAACAAATAAGCAAAAAAATAAAATTTTTTAAAAAGTTGAATTTTATGTGATGTGAATTTTGTTATATGAATTGGACTTCAATTAAAAAAACCCCACAAAATTTAAAAAAATAGGAATAAAGTATTGCTATGTGCCACAAAACCATGACCCTTAAAAACAGCATGCTAGAGTCACATGAAGTGAAAGCGGGCAAAATGGGAGTCGGAGAACGTGGAGTGACAGCGAAGGGGGATGGGTCCCCAGCTGGGGTGACAAAACGTTCTACAATCCTCGCTGGTGACAGGTATGTAACTGTGAAACACCACTGATGGGATGTGAATTAGTATTTCAATAAATCTTTACAAAAAAAGAAAAGAAAGGGAGAACCAGGCCAGGTGATGGGAAAACAAAATATGCTTACATGATGAATTCATTGGGCTGGCAGACAGTTGTGGCCACTCCTCCCAGCACGATCCAGGGGTTTAACACCGTCTGGCCACCCGTCACAGACGTTCCTGCCTCCTCCGCTGCATCTTTAAAACCCTGTATAATTAGGGGCATCACTTTATCCCTTTCCTAGGGTTTAAAAGAACACAAATTAAAAGTCACGTAATTCAGTTCAAAACCCAGAAAAGAGAATCTACGCTTACAGTTATAAAAAAAAAAGGATCATAAAATCCTACAGGGGGTCCTGTGGTTTACAGCCAGGGTGGGGGATCAGAGGAAGAAGCAGGGAAGCGCTGACACTGTAGCCATTTTTTATCAGAAGTTGGAAGGCGCTCTAGGTTACGACGTGAATAGAGCCCAGACATCACGGAATTAAAAACTGGAATTTGATGGCTCCACAGGTCTGCCCACATCTGAGAGCCAGCTCTTTAAGGGGTCCTGAAGAATGCCAGGACTAGCTTCGCATGCGTCCACACGCCCTCCTCCAAATGTGTGGAAGCAATGACCAGCTCTAATTTCTACGAGGTATGGCAAACCTGTATCTGGGGCACAAAAACAGGTACCTTTTAAAATCTACATGGAAATCATTCCTGTGTCAAAGGACAAGGTTTGGCAGCAAGGCCTCAAACACTGCTGTGCGAGCACGCGACTGCACGGGGCACCCCGCCGTGTCACCAATCAGGACCCCATCAGCCAGCGGAGACAGGCACCTGCCCTACGTGGGGCACACCCTGGGTCTGTAAGGGTAGGCCTGGGCCACATCAACTTTAGTAAAGCAAACAAACATGCCTGTCTTGGCTTCAGTCTACCTGGAAGAGAGAAAGGGAAGCAGGTGGTGGAAATGAGAACAAGAATAGGCCAGAGTCTCTATTTTAATTCACGGGTAGCTGCCAAAAAATAAATGGGGAACCCGATCGAAGAGGACAGGCGTGCAGCTAGGCGCCTTCCATTACAGATGGGGGACGAAGGACTAACCAGTCCAGTGACACCAGCAAGTCAGCAGACCACTTACCCTGTCGGTCATTTTATTACTGATTCCGAGCAGCATCAGCATATTGTCACATTCCGTGACCCCCATGGCGTAGAGGTCACTGAGGACGTTGGCACATGCTATCCTGCCCTGGAAGAGAGGGGAGGCGTGAGAGAGGACAACAAGGGGACTTTCCGTGTGTGCCTACAGAGTGCCTCCCAGGACAACTCAGGGACTTTCCAGGGACAGGGTCCCCGCTTTCTGTGTCCTTTATCACACAACCACGAGGCCATTCCTTCACTTTCTCAGGCATTCCTGGGACTACCTCTTCTTTCTTGTGCAGAACACATAATTTCCATGTTCCTTCCCACTCTGAATATTGGGGGAAGCATGCCATTTATTTAGATGCGGGAATGGGGGTGGAGAGCAGATGCTGGGGCGAGCAAGGTGGGAGCTGATGGGTCTGAGAGGAGAGCTTAGGGAATGAAAAAGTTGGAAAACAAATGTCCTAACAACTTGGAAACAGCCACGTATCCTGAACAGACTCTAAAAATATGTTGACTTTATTGGTTATAGAGAAGATGGTTTTTATAACACAGGGAGGGAGACATTTCAGTAGTTTCTCTTCAAGGCTGTATAAGATAAACAGGAAAAACATCTTGCTTGAGAAATCAAAAAACAGAAGAGAGAAAAAAACATCTAGGCCTGAAGTCAGATTGTTTTCTAAAGCACATAAAAAGCATTTCCAATAAACTATATTATTTAGTAAGGAACTTCAATTCAATAGAAATCTGAAAATAAATGTTTATCTCTACTGCAGAGTTTTTAAATATATAAGTTGTCAGGGGCACCTGGCTGGCTCAGTGGGTGCAGCACATGACTCTTGATCTCAGGGTTGTAAGTTTGAGCCCCCTGTTGGGTGTAGAGATCACTTAAAAATAAAATCTTTAAAAAAAAAGTAAGGGCACCGGGGTGGTGCAGTGTGTTGAGCGTCTGAGTCTTGATTTCAGCTCAGGTCATGATCTTAGGGTCAGGAGACTGAGCCCCATGTAGGGCTCTGCCCCACCGTGGGCGTGGAGACTGCCTGAGATTCTCTCCCTCCCTCTGTCCTCCCCACCACCTCCTAAATAAATAAGTAATAAATGCAAGTTGTCATTTCTAGACAGTGAAGGAGAAAATGTCAAATTATCCTTCTGACACAAGGATAATCAAATTCCCAAGTATGATCATTTCAGCAGCTGGCTGAATGCTCGTTGAGGTTTTCTTACGAGTTCCTGGCAGATCGGCAGTGAGCTTGGAAGTGACAGGGGCAATGGAGGTTTGGCAACTCGGAGATGCCTGCCATTGCTTGGGGCTGCAGCCATGTTGTCCCCTCTCATGCTTTTAAGAGATGCTGGCTAGTGGTGCCTGGGTGTCTCAGTCAGTTAAGTGTCTGCCTTCAGTTCAGGTCATGATCCGAGGGCCCTGGGATTGAGTCCCGCATCGGGCTCCTCGTTCAGCAGAGAGCCTACTCCCTCTCCCTCTGGCATTCCCCCTGCTTATGCTCTCTCCCTCTCTCTGTCAAATAAATAAAAAAAATCTAAAAAAGAAAAAAAGAGAGAGATGCTGGCTAAAGGCTGAATTCTGGTCCTAGCTGCCTCCACTGCCTGGTCAGGTAGGGCACCGGTCTCTCAGGAGTCCTGCTCCAGAGGAGAGAACAGATGGTCACGCAGAGGCCGGACAGGTTTCTAGTCAACTGTATGCCTGTCACTGGCACCTGAGAAGCGCCTTTCCTCTTCCCCATACTTAGTTGTCTCAGGGTCCAAGTCCCTATGCATGTGTGGCTTGAGTCCAATGCCCCTGGCACAAAGGGAGGACAATTTCTTTTCTTTTTTTTTTTTTTTAAAGATTTTATTTATTTATTTGACAGACAGAGATCACAAGTAGGTGGAGAGACAGGCAGAGAGGGAAGAAGAAGCAGGCTCCCTGCTGAGTGGAGAGCCCGACGTGAGGCTCGATCCCAGGACCCTGGGATCATGACCTGAGCCAAAGGCAGAGGCTTTAACTCCCGAGCCACCCAGGCGCCCCAGGGAGGACCATTGCTTAACAGCACGATGCTCCCCATCTCTTCATTGGCTCCTTGTCCAGGAGGGTAGAGGGTTAAAGTCAGGCAGACCAGGGGGTTGCTGGCATAGCCAGGCACCGAGCTATCTGGAACTACATCTAGGCAGGCCACTGTCAGTAGCCAGGAACTTAACGCCACAGTTCAGATATGCATTCTACACAGTGACCCATGACACCCTGAGGTGCGTAGTGACCAGAGTCAGAATCAATGTCCAATAGCTTAACTATGGTGAGATGCTAAGCTGTTTATTTATTTATTATGAAGGAAACATCAGTCCTGCTACTGAGTGTGATGAAGCCTGAAACACAGGAATGTGGAATTTACAAATGTCAGAGAGAGGAAGAAAGAAGAAAACGCTAAACACGTCCATCAGCAGACATGCTGAGGACGCAACAGGTGTTCACGCACAGACACACACGCAGGTCCAAGCGTGGCACAGCAGCTCCCCGCACCTGCCTCCACTGCCTTCTGCCAGGTACCGAGTGTGAGCAGGGCAAACCCAATGGCTGTGAGTGCGGAAGGCAGGCGGGCGGCAGGATGACGACAGCTGGCACACGTGTATGGAAAGCAAAGGCCCCAGGCCCAGCCCCAAACCCAACCAACAAGCAGTTCCAGATGCAAACACACACCCGGGCCAAACTCACCATCATGTAAGGGTCATCGACGATAGGATAGATGTAATCCGTGGTTTGAACCAAAGAGAGACCACCATGCCTCAAAGGAATGACGCAAGTATCCATTCCAATGCCTGCAAAGATGAAAGTTGTCAGCATCCAGAAACCAAAAGGAAAAGTCATTGCATTTTATACCATCAGTCCTGGGACCTGGAGCAGTTTCACGCACGACGCTTACAGAGCACTGCGCCCTGCCAATAAGGCAATGTGTTTCCTATCGAGACAGGAACTGAAATAAACGTGAAACATAACTAGCTTAAGATGGAAAGTGAGAATACGATTTGTTAGTCATAATACTCAACTTCAATATGGTACAATTTTTAGACTTTAATGGTGCCTCCAATGGACATTTTTCCTTTGTATCACTGCATCATCTGGGCTGGCACCACAGAGAATTTCTTTAAAGACAAGAAAGCATCAGAGGAACTTGGGTTGTCTTAACTACATTACTTTTTGAGCAGATCTTTAGGCATTATTCTATTTTTCCCAATGGAAAATGTGTAAAATCTTTCATATATAAGAAATGTTATTATTACTTCTCCATTTTAGTCAAAAATGAAAATGACAAAGGTGGGGAGGGCACCTTGCCAGCTCAGTCATGTGGCTCTTGATCTCAGGGTCGTGAGTTCAAGCCCCATGTTGGGTGTAGACATTACTTAAAAATAAATAAATAAGCTTAAGTGAGAGCAAGAGAGGGAGAACGAGAGAGAAAGAGGAAGGAAAGAGAGAAGGACAAAGTCAGAACAGGTATTCATTGTTTCCAATCAAGCTTGGACAGACACTGGTACTTATGGGATCTGGTATGTAGGTTCCCAAAAGTGTTTTTTAAGAGGAAACTTTAAAATCCCATGTTATTTCTCTTGTGGAAAACTTGTAAATGTCATCTTTACTAATGCTATAAATAGGGAAAAATATTTTGCTAAACAAGCCTGCAGGAAATACTTCAATTTATTAAAAATTGTTACTGAACATTTAGAAAGACAATACGGACAGTGGATGATCTAATTAGAAATAATTCCCTTTTACTGAAATCGGTTTAGAAATAGTCAAAACTGAGATACAATAGGTAACATTACTTTGGAAGTCACCTGTAAGGGGGCCATTTTCAAATTAAGACTGGCCTTCCCACCAAGTAAGCCGAATACAGAGTGCTTTCCCTCCCCTCTCTCAAAAGGACACCATCCTGCCCCCTTAGGAGGATGTCAACTTGGCAGCACGACAGCCAAAGGTGGAAAAAAAAATCTGGTTAAAATACCAAAGGAAGCAAGCGGATGGCACCCTCTAAACTCAGAATTCCAAATGGAACAAGAATGAATCGTATCTTCACGTTGAAACGAACACATGAGCACCTCTTATAGGGAGTAAAACTGCCGCGGCACGACCATCTCCGCACTGCCATGGCAAAGAACCCGCGAGAGGCTGCGTCACAGTGGCGCCTCATATTCTCAGGCCTTGATCCATTATTAATGCACAAATAAAAATTGAGTTTAATAAACAGTCACGCTCTGTGAAGGCGGGCTGATTTCCAGCACACAAGATGGCAAGGCGGTATCCAGGTGGCAAGTCTCAGGGATGTGTGACCACAGAGCACGCTGCCCCGGTCATGAGTGTCCATGTGCATCAGATGGGACACGTGTGATAATTCATCCAAATGACACGTATGTGCACACCTCCCAGAATCTTCACCAGATGACTGCTTTTGAACAGTAAGTGGAGAGAGGGCAAGAACCACAATTTTACTCATACCGAGTCTCCCTAAAATGACCCAACAGGTCATTCTGAGGATATTAGTGTTTGCTTTAGGAAAGAGGGAAATACAGTTTTCTTTGGGGTTTCCATGTATAAACTATAGGACTCCTGAAAGAGATTAGACATAGTTGCTGAATGTTAGCTTTAAATGTTTCCCAGCAGCGCTCCTGGGTGACTCAGTGGGTTAAGTGTTTGCCTCTGGCTCAGGTCATGATCCTGGGGTCCTGGGATCTAGCCCCTCATCCCTCAGGGGGAGTCTGCTTCCTCCTCTTCCTCAGCCCCTCCCCCCGTTTGTGCTCAGTCTCTCTCTCAACTAAATAAATAAAATCTTAAAGAAAAAGTAAATGTTTCTAATCTGGTTAATCCAAATTTGAATTAAATAAATTTGATATGTGAAGGATTTAATTTCTATTTATATGTATCATCAGAGCATTTTAACTGATGACTCTTAAGCATGTTTACCCAAAACCCCCAACATTTCATTAATAATATATCAACTGTGCGTTTATTTTCTTTTACAGATTTTATTTATTTACTTGACAGAGAGTGAGCGAGAGCAGGAAACACAAGAATCGGGAGTGGGAGAGAGAGAAGCAGATCCCCCCACAAGCAGGGAGTCCAATGAGGGGCTAGATCCCAGATCCTGGGATCATGACCTGAGCCAAAGGTAGACGCTTAACAACTGAGCCAACCTAGGCACCCCTCAATTATGTGTTTAAATGACGTTTTTCATATATAGGGTTAAGTAAAATACGTTAGAATTAATTTCACCCAATGCTCTAGGAAATGTGAAATTACACGTGGCCCACATGGTATTTCTTTCATACAGCACCTGTCCACAGTGACTGGGGGCGAGAGGGCATCTGAGATGAGCCCTTGGCCTAAAAAAACCAGGATGAAGTTGAAAGGGAGGGACAGTCCAGGGAAAGGGCAGGGGGTAACAGATGCAAATACCACAGCGGGGAGAGGAATTTTGGGTTTTCAGCAAGACTGAAACCATCCATCAAGAAGAAGAACCCTGCGGGGCGCCTGGGTGGCTCAGTGGGTTAAAGCCTCTGCATTCGGCTCCAGTCGGTCATGGTCCCTGCATGGGGCTCTCTGCTCAGCGGGGAGCCTGCTTCCCCCACTCTCTCTGCCTGCCTCTCTGCCTACTTGTGATCTCTGTCAAATAAATAAATAAAAATCTTAAAAAAAAAAAAAAAAAAAAAAAAAAGAACCCCAAAGACCATACTAGCACCAATGCCAGCAATGATCAGTACTTGACAGTTCTTAAGTCCCAGGCAAAAAACACCGACTTTAACATTTCTTTAGTGAGAAAACATCTAAATCAACACATATACATTTAACAACTATCACCATCTTAGGATCCAGGAAATCTGATACTCATTTAGAGAAATAGTTTAAAAACAGATAAACACACTGACTGCTGTGTATATAGATTATATGTCTGTCTGGGTAAAGATACACATGGTACATACGCATGCACATAATTTCTTGTACTTCCAACACTTAGAAACCGTAAGTATGGTTAGCTCATTCTAAAGATCAGGACACTGTCGCTCAGATTAACATTAGTGACTCGGTAGTGACTGTGTCCAGACAAGAATCTAGAGTTGATTTCAAAGCAAAGCTTTGGCTCTCTAGAAGTTACCACTTCTGGGCAAGGTTTTAATACTACGCTTCCTTCAGCACCATCTGCTGGTAACCTGGGGTCCTTCTACCCCTGGAGAATGCCATGAATGCTCAATTTTGTGAGTGTGCATTTCTCTGAGAAAAGGTCATGGCTGGGGCGCCTGGGTGGCTCAGTGGGTTAAAGCCTCTGCCTTCAGTTCAGGTCATGATCCCAAGGTCCTGGGTTCGAGCCCCACATCGGGCTCTCTGCTCGGCAAGGAGCCTGCTTCCCTTCCTCTCTCTCTGCCTGCCTCTCTGCCTACTTGTGATCTCTGTCAAATAAATAAATAAAATCTTAAAAAAAAAAAGAGAGAAAAGGTCATGGCTTCCAAATGCTTCTCAAAAGCGCTAGGAGTCTAGACTCCTTCGTGTTAGTGTTCTTCTAACAGCTTTTCTCTGCCTCTCCTCTTGCTGTTCCTATCTGTCCCCTTTGCCACAGTTAGGATGTAGCCTGCAGCCCCTTTTCTCATTGCAAACATGCTGGACTTACAGAAACTGGGCGACAAAACAGTATGGGGAGCGGAGGAATCAGAAAACATGGATTCCAGGTCCCCACCCTCGCTCGCCAAGTGACACGGAATGGGTTACCCGGCCTTCCTGAGCATCATGCGGCTGAGGCAAGGAGCAAATGACCTGACCCATTTTCAAAGTGCTTAACAGTCCATGGAATGCCCATCAGGTCAACCGGGAAAGCATCCAGAGGAATTCCTACTGTATCCATAAGGCTTCTATTGCATTTGGTTTTGCCCATTTGGCAGCTTATTTCTCTTGACAGAGTTATCTGACAGCGTTCTCAGCACATTCTTATTTTTTGACAAGTAAGCCAACATCTAATCCAACTCATTCACATGGTATTTCTCCATGCTTAGGCATCAGCTAGACGATGCTGGTGTTCTAACCCAGCCCTGCAGCCCCTAGAGCGTGGGGTGTGAAGTTTCCCCTCCTCCAACCAAAGCAGCTCTGCTTTTGTATCTGCTTTACAGATCAGGGAAGAAAGAAGCATCCTGGGTTGTGAGACAGAATGCTATACGCCAGAACTGCACAATCAAACAATGGGTGAAAATGAACAGAATGAAGACCTTATGTAAGAACGCTGATCAGGTCACACACCACGATCACCAAACATTCAAACTTCTAGAGTACACGCCTGACATTCCAAAGGCCAAGTGATCATGGGCTTATGCCACGTCCTTAACACACCAGACAATAAAAGCTTAACAAATAGCCCAAGAGCCTAGAATTTCCTTCTGAACTCTGTGTTTGGGAAGAGGCAAACCACTAAAACATCAGGAATTTAGTCAAAAACAAAACAAAACAAAACACCACACTCTCCAGGCCAGATGACGTCCTAGGGTCAGGCACAGACTCGGTCTAGTCTTCTCCCTCCTCCCTATTGGAGCTCATCAAACAGGGCACGGTGCAGAGGAACACCAGAGCCCACCCCAGCCCAATCACCACCCTCCAAGCACCGCACAATGACATGTATGCACTACCTTTCCTAGGGCAAAGGACAGAATGCAAGAGCTGTAAGGAAAATTTTAGGACAGGGGTATAAAGGAGTTTCTGATTAATCCTCAGCTAACTATAAAATTCCATTTAGTAAAAAATACTCTTACTGTAATAGAACTGTCTCAACTGCACACTTAATGGTTTAAAAATGGCTAGAGTACATTTCTTGATGCTTTTCAATACTTCATCCAAATAAGTTAGGATAATAGAATAGTTATCGTTGCTTTGCTCTTTGAATCCTTATAGAAATTAAACTTGTTGAACAAGACACCACGGGATGACAGAAATTTGGCTTTCGACTCATTGACTACAGCTGTAGCCAAGATGCTTTCCTTTTGGGAAGCGTAAAAGAGATAATGGTTCACATACCAAGCCTTGGCATAACTGCTCCCAGAAACTGCTCATCTTCTTGGAAGTGGTTCTCTTGTAAGGATTCCAGCAATTTCTGCAGGACATCTTGGGGCACTTTGCAGCCGGTGCCCTTCAGTTCAGTGAATCTGGTTAGGCGGAAGCTCTTGTCCAATTCATAACTTTCCGGGTTAAAGGACTCCCGCGTAGACATGGTTCTGGGGCGCACACACCTCACAACTGGGCTCCTCCCCTCCCTCTCCTAGCTGGCTGGTTTCTTCAGAGATCCACCTAGGTCGCGCCAAAAAACAAAGACACCATTAAAAGAATTCTCACCAGTACTTGCTAAGAATCAAGTGAATACAGGACAGTGACAAATAAGTGTGAAAAGAGCTGCAGTCATCAGACCACAGGCACAGGGCGATCAGAGGCCCCAACAGTTCATGACAGTGATGCATAAACCAGAACAAATCATTTTAAAAAGTGACTGTACCATCACAGACATCTTCTATGGGAGAAGACCTGAGTCTGTGTTGCTGTAACTGTGGCTCTGAGGGGCAGCCAGGACACCTCCCCTGAAGAAGGCACTCTGTGCCAGCTGGCACATGACACAAGGCCATCTTCAGCAGTAAGTCCCAAAGGTTCCTCTGGCGGCCAGCATCAAGAGAAAACTTCTAGTCACTGCATCTGTCAACCTAGGAGCACTATGGTTTAGAAATTACAAGGCCAGGCTAATGGCACTTTTCTGGAAAACCTTTTAATATCTTCTTTTAATATCTTATCTCACAGAGAAAAATAAAATGCCCATTAGACAGACACCCTGCAGCAAAAGGATGCTGATGGAAACGCATTTGATGAAATTCTTTATGATGCTCAATTCAATTTTAGAAAAACATGTTTTTACTCTCAGCCAAAAGTACAAGATGATCCAAAACTAAGGAAGCCTCACTAAAGAACACAACTTGAAAAGTGGAATGGCTGTTTTCAACACAGCAAGATTAATTTTCTCCAAGAAAGCAGTGGAAAGTTCTCTAATATTTTAATGCAGAGCGCTTTCCTAGAAAGCAAACATCCTGCCCAACCAACCAGTGCACACACATCATTGACAAAATAAATACGCTTGCTCCTGCTCATTACGGTGTCACTGCAGACCGAAAATGAGAAATTAAACTGTACTAAATCACTGGCATTTATGGTACTAGGTACCAGTGAAAAGTTTCTAGGGCAAACCCTTCTAAATCTGAAGTCTCTGAGGTTAAACCAGAATCTTACAAGTGCTCCCAGGTTTTACAAACCTCCAGATTGATATTTTATTGGGCATAAGATTACGAACACCCAAGTTTTAGAGTCAGTTTCCCCTATAAAATTTATGATTAAGAACATAATTCCCATTTATAGAGTTTCTGATCTCCTGGGAAGCACATCACTCATTTAAAATCTCTCTCTGGCGCTCACGCGTGCACACACACACACACACACACACACACACACAAAATAACTAAATAAAATAAATCTCACAAAGCCCGAGTATAGGCAGTAATCCAAACTGTCCTCACAAAAACATGTTTGGGGGCGAGCAATCATTTCGGTTTGAAACCTACAACTCTGCAGGAATAAACCTTCCAAGACTCCAAGAAAACCACCTGTGCAAAAGGAGGGTGGCAGGAGAGCAAAGCAAATTACCCAGAGGGGAATTCTGAAGCCATTTCAGAGTTAGGAAAAGTCCAATAGCACTTTGACTTGGAAGAGTTTGGAACAAAACAACAGTGCTTTGCTCACAAAACGCCTCGCACTTAACACCGCCTCACTCCTACCAGAGGGGAAAAAAATCCAACTCACGAGGCATCCAGTTATTTTCCTACCTCCAGCCCTACCGACCCCCCCTTTCCCGAAAGAGGCGGGGAATTTGAGCGACTAACTTCCTTTTAAACGTAATTTCTATTTTCCCAGATTTTTAAGAGAAAAAAAGTTTAAAACACCTTAAGTCCAGAAAGCACTCAGGCGTCTTAAAATTCGAAATGGAACGAGGGACACACATCCACACTCACATCCGAACCTTGAAAACTTAGTTTTTGGAGGGTGGGTGTGCGAAAATGGGGGAAGGGGGGTGCTTGGGGAAATCGTAATTAATGGGGGGGGAGTAAATGTGCATAGCATGAAGCAGTCCACTTCAACCCAGAAGCCGCCTGTTTACACCTTTAAAACAATGATATGAATATTTAAAGACAACGGTTAACCCTTTCCTTCTCGGCCACCTTTAATTTTTTTTTTTTTTTTTTAAACCGAGGTCTCCAAGCGGGCCGCACAGCTCGGGGAGCACGGTAAGCAGAGATGGGAGAGCGTGCAGCCACAGCCCCGTACCTACCTCCCAACCCCCAAGCCCCTTAGCCCAGGAAATAAACAAAGAGGTGGACTCCAGGCCCGGCGCGCGGAGAACGGGCGCTCTCCATGCAGCACGCGTCCAAGACGCAGCCGGAGCGCGGAGGCCGGCACGCGGGGACACCTTAAGTCCCAGGCTGCCGCCTTTAAAGGCAGACCGGGCCTCCGCTCTTTGTGCGGCGCTGCGCGACGGGCTGGCCGCGGCCGGGCCGAGGCAGCGCGGCACCGCTGGCTGGGCCATGCCCGCCAGCTCTCCCGGCGACGGCGGCGGCAACCGCAGCGAGGGCGCGAGGCGCGCGAGGCTAACCGGCCGCGGAGGGGCGGGCGCGAGCGCGGCGGGACCCCGGCCCGCGAGGCCTGCCTGGCCCGGGCGCCAAGGGTCAGGCGGCGCCGACGGGCCGGAGGGCGCGCGCGTGGGGGTGGGGAGGGCCCCGGAGGGGCCGCGCGCCGCGCCCGGGGACCGGGCTGGGTTCTCCCGCCACGCGCGCGGGCCGCCGCCGCCGCCGCCGAGCAAAAATGTCGGCGGGCGAAAAAATTAACCCCTGCGTTGCCGCCGCCGCCCTCCCCCTCCACTCCTCCCCCGCCCTTTCCTCCCTCCCTCCTTCCCCGGCTCCGCGCGGCGGCGGCGGCGGCGGCGGCGCGGGCGGTGCTTCTTTTTTAAAGCGGCCCCACCAAGCCCTGGCTCTGCCCCTCTCCAGGCAGCGCTGGAGAGCGCCGGCCGTGCACGGCTCCCGGCGGGCCCGGGCGGCCCGGAGGGGGATCTGCACGGCCGCCATGGGCCTGCGGACGAATATTCCCCTTTAAGCCTGGCGTCGCGCCCCCCCCTCCCCAAGCCAGGCGCTTACCGGTTCGCTTTGCGCCCTCCTCCTCCTCCCGAAAACGGGACTCCGGCGCTCCCACAATGCACCGGGCGCGGCCGGGCTCCCTTAAGCGTCGCCTGAATAAAAATGCCGCTCCCGGCGGCGGCGGCGCGGAGGGCGGGAGGGCCCGGGCCGCGCCTGGGCGCCGCGGGGGCTAGGCCTGGCTCGGCGGGCCCCTGCCGGGAACCGGGCCGCCGCGCTCCGCCGTGCGCCGCGCGCGAGGGGCCTTTAAGGGCCGGCTACCGCCCTTTAAGAGGCGGCGGGCCGCGGCCGGAGCGGCTTGGTGGCTGCGTGCGGCCCGGGAAGGGGGCGGGGGCGATGTGCAGGCCCGAGCGCGGCAATGATTGGTCTCGGGGGAGGGGTGGGGGGTTGCAAACCCGAGGAGCGGTGGCATCCGTTGCATGATGCAAAAAGGATTGATTTCAAAAGTTGCGAGTTGCATTGGCAGCAGCCTTTGGCGCCGGGGCCACCACCTACTTTTCCTCGACCCGCCGGAAGGGCCGGGAATGCTTTACAAAACCTGGCCAGGCTCCACCGCGCTACACCCTGCGGGACGCTGTACCTGCTCCCCGAGCGCCGCCGTCGTTTCGGGCTGGGAGACAATGACCGTGGAAAACAGTTTGAAAAAGAGTGGGAGCAGAGAGGAAGCCGCCTCTGCCACGGGAAAGATTTTTTTTTTTTTTTTTTAAACATAAACGGCGCGTTTGATTAATGATGACCTCTGTCGTCTCTCCTTTCTATTGTTTAGCCTGGCTCGGGAGCCAACGGGAGCCTTAGTGGATATGCAGACGTCCCGCAAAGTTTCTTGAATGTTCTGCGTGCTTGGTAGGGAGTCCGATCTCAGGGTTCCTCGGTTACATTGTTTGCTCTTCACATGTCCAAGTAAACATGGCAGCCTAATAACTCTGTGTCTGGATTAACACTGACAGAACAGCTTCCGCATGAGAGAAGGCTTTCTTCAGGCTTTCCACTCTCTAATGTATTGCTGATTCCAATAAAACAAAACGCTTTCCCAAAACTGCGTCTTTCAGGGCTGCCCTCAAAACCAAGCAGTGTTCAGGAATGCCGACCAAACTTTTCTAGGGTGGCTCAGCATTTTCTAAATGGATTTGGGGGCAGGAATGTTTCCGGTCACCGAAAGGTGCTTTTCCTTGTGCACCAGGTTCGCAGGCTATGCAGATGCCCTTTAAAATCTTAAAATTTCTGCTGAACGATTCCTCCGGGTTTTAATCTCAGTAAGGATGCAGAAGTGATGTAACCTAGCAGACCGGCTGATGCAGGCTTTTCCGCTCTATGGGTCCCCCCACCCCCCACCCGGGACCTCTACAGTAAGTTAGAAAAGAGCAGAGAAGCCAGGATTGTCTAATGTGAGTTGTTGGACTTGTGTAAGAATGCCGTAACGTTGTGTTTGGCAAAGCTGGATTGCCTCTGAATCACCTGGGATCCCCAGGCAACCCTCCAGACCTCCGGAACCAGGGACAGAAGGATGCAGTATCTTTATTCCTTCCATCCTCTCCTTTTTGAGATAAGTTTTGTGAGTTGTTGTGGGGTTTTGGTTTTCTTTGTGAGGTGTTTTGTTTTGTTTTGTTTTTAAGCAAAAAAGTCACAACTAGGGGAAAAAAAGAGATTTGGGGGATTAGGGGCAAGGTGAGTAGGGCCCTGCATGGAGATGGTGTGTCATGCTGGGGAGTTTGATATTTATGCCTTAGTCACCAGAGTTTGTCAGATTTGGTTTTTACAACTTGAGCTGGTAAAAAGGCTGTACCACATCTGGGAGGATGCCCTCCCCCAGAGGGGAAAACGGGGCCACATCTCTTATTAGGAGGTAATTGTAATCAGCACAGAGTCGAGGGAATTTAATTTGGAGGAAGAAGCAGAAGATGACCCCCAGGTTTCTGGTTTTGGGGGACTGGGTGGGTAGTAATGCTAACGGAAATAGCAACTATGAGAAGGCAAACAGGTTTAAGGCTGAGTTGGGTTTTGGAAATAGTCAATTTCAGGCACCTGCCAGATATTCTAGGCAGAGTGCAATTGGTCAAACTAGGGCTTGGCACTTGGGGTAGGGGGCTGGGCTCTGAGTTTGAGATGCAGATGTGGGGTCTATCAGCATGTAAATAGGGTTTAAAGCCGCGGAAAGAGGTAGGATTAACCAGGAAGGGGAGTTCGGGATGAAAGTGAAGTGAAGGAGACCTTGGACAGAGCCCGGCGGGGCTTCCAAGTGGAATGGCTAGGCGAGCTGGAGGCTGTTCCCTGCGGAATCTGTGGGAGGCCAGCATCCTCAAAACCTGCTCCTTCCTCTCCCAGCACCCCCCACCCCCAACTGTAGCAGTTCCACAACAACTGAAGGCAAATTCTTCTGGGCAGAGGCTGTAGACTCTTCACTAAGCCACGGATGCCTTCATTCATACGGAGTCTGTATCCAACCTTGGGACCCGGTAATCTACTGGATCTCTCCACCCCCCTTCTTTGCCCTAAAAGCATGCCTCTCTGTGCTTCCCCCAGTCCGCTTTTCTCCCACCAACCTTTTTCCGGGTCCTCCCCAATGGAACCATTTGAGCCCCATTTCACTGGAAGCCTTCTTCCCTGGGTTTTTAGGTCCTACAGGCTCCAACTAAACGATGGTTCTCCTGGATTCCTTTACCTTGTGGACCCTTGTTAAAAAAAAAAAAAATACACATTTACCAGCCCTGCTCCAAAGATTGTATCTAGCTGGCGTAATGGGTTGAATCGCTAGAAAGATTCTTTGCTTGACCAAATTTTAGTCGGGCTCCTGAAACTTCTAGGCCCATTTACGTGCTTCCTTGTAAAATCCCGTTTTAGCAAGATTCCCTCCCCCACCCTCAAAAATTTGATCGGTCCCTCACCCCTCACCATCCCCCAGGTGATGTCTGATCATCCCAGCTGCCTGTTGCAAGAATCCTGTTAGGTCGGTTTAGCCAGAATCCCCCCACCCCTGTTATTTCCTCCTAGTAATTTTCCATACACGGGTCCTCACCCTGCTCCTTGACTGTAAATTCCCTCTTGCCCATGCTGTATTTGGAGTTGAGCCCAATCTCTCCCCCCCAACTACAAAGTTCTCTTGCAATGGTCCTGAGTAAAGTCCGCCTTGCCGTGTCCAACCCGTGCCATAAACCATTTTTTTTTCTTTAATAATTGTGTCCCCCACCAGAGATGTGTTGAAGTCTTAACCCCTGGTACCTACGAATGTGACCTTATTTGGAAGGGTCTTTGCAGGTGTCATCAAGTGAAGAGGAGGTCATGATAGAGTCACGTGGGCCTTAAATCCAAAGACTTAGGAGAACAGGGAGATTTGGGTACAGAGACACAGGGGAAAAGGCCTTGTGAAGACCAGGGCAGAGATGGAGTGAGGCGCCTTCAAGCCAAGGAATGCCAAGGATTGCTTCTGACCCCTAGAAGCAAGGAAGACCCTCACTAGAGCCATCAGAGAGCACGGCCCTGCCAAACCTTGACTTCGGACGTCTGGTCTCCAGAGCTGTGAGAGAGTACATTTCTGTGTTCTGCATTAAGCCGTCCAGTGTTGTGGTATCTGTCACGGCAGCCCCAGGAAACGAATAGAGCCAGTTGGGGTATGTGTTTGGGAGCAAGGAGTATAAGAATCATTGCTTTTAATGGGCTCCCCTGGTGATGGTGATGGTGATGCTGGGGAGTGGGTGGTGAGCACTATCTTATCCGGCACTCAGAGGGACAGGAGCCTGCCTGTTCCACCTCCCACATTCTGCAAGCTCCAAAGCAGCTTCAGTGTCATGACTTACCTCCTGTCCTGACTTTGTCACTTAGGGTTTTTGCTATCCAGCATTACCACCATCTGTTGCCAGGGTAGTCACTCCCCTATGTTGATTGCGTTGTTCATGTTCAAAAGTGGTCCCTGATTTGTCATCATGGGAGGGGGGGCGTGGGAGGACTCTCTGGTCATGACTAAGACCTGGTAGGTGATGGACACCTCAAATCTAATGACTTTTACCTTCACTCCACTCTAGCTACCCATTCTCGTCTCTACACTATAACTGTCTCTTCTCTGGAATATTAAGCACCAGCATCCTATCTCCAGTCCTGTAATCCCCCATTTCTTTATACCTGGCCTCCTGCACTTCCCCTTTGTGGGGGTCACTGGTCTCTCAAGATGGTTCCTTTTCTTTCTGTCCAGCCTGGAGCCTTCAGTATGCTCCACAGCTTTGTGTCCAGCCTGGAGCCCTCAGTATTCTCCATAGCCCTGTCTCCGGCCTGCAGCCTTCAGTACACTTCCATAGCCTTGTGTCCAGCCTTGAGCTCTCAGTATTCTCCACAGCCTTCAGTAAGCTCCACAGCCTTATCTCCTGCACTGCCCTTTGACCACATCAACCCTCAGACGTCCGGCCTTACGTTCCTTCTCTCCACTCTCTTCCCTACCATTTTACCAGGCAAAGAAAACTCAGAGCTTAGAGA